TCCCTTCAAGGGTTTTGAGTGTTAAAAAATTTCCTGTCCCATCCAGAAACGCACCCCCTTTTTTTTTCTTTTCCTCCTTTTATTTGTGGCATGTTTCAGGTTGAAGGACACTGCTGTCAAAAGCACTGGGAAGGGCTAGGGTGGTGCGGGGATGAGGTTGCCAGAGGCAGCCAGACAGTGCCTTAACCACTCGGGGTCTCTCAAAGTGACCCCAAGGGTGCCCAAAAGCCGCACCAGTGTCGCCCAAAGAGCGCCGAGACTGGGCAACTCAGCGCAGGAAACGGCGGTGGGCGGGAGCCGTCGGAGGCCACGCCCTCCAAGGCGGCCCCCATTGGCCCCACGCCGCCCCGCCCCGCCCCGCCGGCGGCCCCCATTGGCTGCAGTTCCCGCGGGTTTCGGCGCGCGCGGCTGCGGGATGGCGGGAGAGCGGGTCATGGAGCTGGTGCGGGAACTGCACCGCGCCACCGGCGGGCACCTCCCGCCATTCCGGGTGAGCAGAGACGGGGCGACTGGGAACGCCGGGAGCGGGAGGGGTCCCGCTCTCGCTGACTGTGTCCCGTCTTGCAGACGGAGGGGCTGCGGCAGGCGCTGGAGGAGATGCGGGCGCTGTACGAGCGGAACCAGGCGGATGTGTGAGTGTTGGCGCGTCCCGCAGAGCCCGGGAGTTGCCCCTCTCTGGCCTTTATCCTCCTCATCGTCCTCTTCCTCATCCTCCAGGTCCGAAGCGAAGTCGGGACGGACGGACCTAATTTTCCTCATCCGGTTCCGGCACTGCTGCCTGCTCCGGAACCAGCGCTGCCTCCTGGCCTACGTGTGAGTGCGGGGGCGGCCGTCGGTGCCGCGGGGAATCGGTTCACCCCCGCCGGCACAGGGTCCCCAGGGGCAGGGTTTTGGGACTCGGCCCGGGCAGGTGATTCCTCCGCGAGGTGCGGGGCTGGTTCTCCTTGTGTTCATTGCCGGTACCAACAAAGAGAAGGCCCTGTTTCCCTCTGCTCTTTAAGAGTTTTCATTATAAATAGGCCAGATATTACAGGTGGAATGACCCAAGTGTTTGCTCTCTGCTCTGAGGGCAGACTGGGGCATCGTTGTTGCCTGGGGATGTTGCCAGCACTCACCTCAAGGATGCTGGGTTTGCCCCGTTTCTTCCCCCAGGTACGACCGGCTGCTGCGGATCCGAGCGCTGAGGTGGGAGTATGGCAGTGTCCTGCCAAACACCATCCAGTTCCACATGTCAGCTGAGGAAGTGAGTCAGCCTTGTTTTAAACTCTTCCTCCCTTTCCACTTACTCCGTCTCTTCCCCCCACTATAAACATGATGCTTAACGTGTCTTTCTGTAAATACTTATTTGTTAATTCATTGTCTGTGGGTACAACCCCAAATGGACACTGAGTGCACTTTTTAATGCACTTTTAAGGATCAGGTGATCTCTATTAGATCAGACTCACAGAGAGACCAACAGAACTAGGTCCGTATGTGCTGCTCTCAAATGCCATCTCTAGACCAATGTACAGAGCTGCTGACATTAGCAGCATCTGTCCTACCCTGAATCCAGATTGCTTTGCCTCAAGGGTGGTTTTTCCTTTCTAGAAGAGCTTGCATTCGTTCACCTTTGGCTGTCAGGAGTGTGCTTGGGAACAGTGGTCTGACAACACAAATAAACTAGATCTCATTCATCAGGGACCTGTCTTTCAGCATTAGCTGTTTGGCTTTGACTGAGGGATCACTGTTACTCCCCACAGGTGGAGTGGTTCAATCGGTACAAAAAGTCTCTGGCTACCTACATGAGGTCAGTAGGAGGAGAGGAGGGGCTGGACCTTACACAGGACATAAAACCTCCTAAAAGCCTGTACATTGAAGTAAGTGCAAGATCTGTGGTTTCTGTCTGTGAACAAACATTTACCCGACCATCTTTTTTAGAGAACTTCATCCCCATCCCAAGTCAGTTCATTAAGCAAAGCCTCTGAGAGCACCAAAGCTTCTACAGGCTTCTGGATTTTACTCTGCCAGCGTTTTATTCCTACTGAGGGCACAATGTATGGTCAAAGATGGTATTTCTAATCCGTAGGGCATTTGTGATGGGGTGAGTTATCCAGTGAGGAGTTTCTCCAGCTTTTTGCAGAAACTTAACCAGCTCTCAGATCAACTAGAAACCATGTTCCCACATTAAGGACTGTTACCTAGGGAGCTTTGTTGTTTTTTTTTAAATGGACTCTTATAGATGAGACTATAAATTGCTTTACGCAATTGATACAACAAAGCAAGAGCACGTGAGAAATCACAGTCAGTAGCTGAAGTGCTCTGTTCTGATATTCTCTTCAAAAAACCATGTAGTGACAATAAACCTGCTCCTTAAGCACATTCACTGTTAAAACAGATTGACATTTTCTGGTATGTTTGTGGGGAGGGGAGGGTCACCAGTCCCTATCTCTTGTGCTCCTCTTCCTCAAGTTTCTGGAGTTTCTGTTCCAGGCAGAGACAGGAAGAGAATGTCAAGGTGGAGCCCACAGACCATGAGCACTGATCCATGGGATCAGTTCAGTTCTGCATTTCTAGATCTGCTCTGTACTGAGACTCCCTCAGGCAGGGAGCAATGTGTCCATTCTCACAGTCCTGGGGCATGTGTTGCAAGCCAGCAGTGATGTCTAGTGTTTCTATGGGAGATGGGGTGATCTGGGAGCTGTGTTTCTGCTTCGCAGGTGCGGTGTTTAAGAGACCATGGAGAATTTGAGATTGATGATGGGACTACCATCCTGTTGAAGAAGAACAGCCAGGTACCCGTGACAAGAATGTCATCCATTCTCTTCCTTCTCTTTCACTCCCATAACATCCCCCTGCTTATCCCAGCTTTGCAGCATGTCACAATTCCTACACACACAGCTCCCTGCACATGCTGCAGGCTGTCTGCATGGCCCAGACTGCAGCTCTGCCTGGTCTGGTACCATGATGCAGTGGATATATAGCACAAAGAACAGAGCTGGCTGTGTGGAGCAACAAATCCAACAAATTCAAGGAAAGTTCTCCTGTGTTTCTGTGCAGCACTTTTTACCCCGCTGGAAATGCGAGCAGTTAATCAGACAAGGAGTCCTGGAGCACATTCTGTCCTAAGTGTGGAGGACAGGAGGGACAACTCTTGCTTGGTGGCCTGCCCACAATGGGGACTGAACTGTAGTGTGCAACACTTCAGACACCTCAGCATTTCTGCAGTGGCACCCTGCCACTCCTTCCAGCAGCCTCTGGTGCCTTATCTGAAGATCAGCCCTATATCATGCAAACTACATTGGCCACCCCTCTGGGAGGAAATGGTGCATACTGGTAATGTAGTGATCCTGGGAATCCGGGGGGTAGGAAGGGGGAGTAGGGCGTTATCCAAGCCCCAGAGCTACAACTGGCATTTGTAAATGCATTTTTGTTTGGACTCATTGATTGTTCACGTGGGAGTAAGACACCAACTGGCTGGGCTCTGGAAGCCAGGAAAGCTCTGTGGTTGCAAAATAAAGAACTGCTTCAGCCTTCACTGTAGTGATTTTTAAGAGTTAATGTTGTGTTCATTAAGCACTCTGATCTGGGTCCCTACTCAAACCTGTCCTGACCCTGCAGCATGATGGTTATTTAAGTGTCTCAGTGGAACTGTTCCTCCAAGTGTCAGAAAAGGCTGTGCAAGCTTCTTTCCAGGATTAGACGAGAAGCCTTGTCTCCCATCAGAGACCTATAAATGTTGTTTCTTGAGGTGCTGTATGAATTAGCACTGCAGTCTGGGCTTCTCCCAGCACGCCTGGGCTTCCCCAAGCACTGGTCTGGCAAGGCCTAGGGACTGTTTGGTGTAGGGGTGGGAAAGGGAGCAGAGGGTTTAAAGGATTCCAGTTAGCACAAAACCAGAACAAGGCTGAAGAGCTGCTTTCCCTGTCTGGTTTTCTTAATAAAGCTGCTCACTCTTGAGAAGTGGCTGAGAGAACGCTTGCAAAAACATTAACCCTGGCTCAGACTGGAGGTTTGCTTAGCCCCCATCTCAGACTGGAGCTGAAAAAGCAAACAGCTGGGGAAGAATGCAGGAGCAGGGTAAATGCTTGGGGCACTACTGCATTGCTCTCCCACCCTCAGCCAAGCAATATGCCTGAGCCCCTCTGTGGGGCTGCCCTCCTTGTAACAGCCCAACTTCACCTTGTGGCCCTTGTACTCAGGGCTGCCCCCAAGGCAAAGAGGAGTGTCAGCTCTCAATGCATTGGGACAAAAAAAGTACAGCTAAACCAAGGAGGCCTCCTCAGTCACAGCCTCCAGTCATCTCCAGGCCTGGCCCCAGGGCCAGGGAACTTCTCTGCCCTAGCAGGCTGAGGGGCAGCCTTAAACACAGTACCTGAGTTTCAGCTCACAGCCAGTTTATCCTCTTTTGTTCCTGAACCAACAACACCGTGAGCTATTTTTAAGCCCTCTTCTTTGTACTGACTTAGTCCAGCCTCTGCACTGGTACCCTGAAATAGTCAGGCTTGTCTAGTCTCTCCTACAGTTTTCTCCATAGCCCCCAAAATCCTAGGAGTGCTTTCACAGGCAGTGGCAACCACAGCCCCTGTGTAAATGTCGTCTGCTCTGGACATTGCACTGGGGCAATGATGCACCTTCCATGCAGAGGGGAACACCCGAGGCAGAGCAATAAATTTGGTATTTGCAGATGTGAACATTTGGCCTTTCAGACAACTTACTTTGGCAATAGTACTCACTGTCAGTGTGTAAAGGCCACCAAGGAAGGCAAGAGGACAGTTCACTTACCATGTCTCCTGGTCTCCTCTGAAGGGAGCTGAGTAGGGGGTCATCAAGCCCCAAGCCTTGGAGGCTCAAACTGAAAGAAGGCTCTACCCTCTGTCCCGCTCACTGCAGAGGCAAGTCTGGTTGGTTTTGGATCCTAGGCTCAGGCTGTAGGAGGGCCAGTCTCCTAGAGCCCAAGAGGAGTTGTAGGGAATGAAAGTTCAGCAACAGTTGGGGAAGGTTACTGAAATAGAGAGCAGACTGGAGATGGCAGGAAGTGCTGTAATATTACAAACATTTTAATACCACCACACAGCTTTCCTGATCAGAGTGAGCCAGACATAGGAACCTGCAAGGCCTTCTGCCCTGGCTTTCCAGCCATAACAGTGTGGCCTCAACACCAACCCTCTACAGAGAGGGAGCATCTGCATCACCACCAAACACTGCTGGAGTTCAAGAAAATCCTGTGGGATGGCTGCCCTGAGACAGACCTGACTTATAACAGCACACTGCCACTGAGAAATGCAGCAAAGCTGGTGCTTTCAGTTGGAAAATTCAGCTATCCACAAGACAAACTTCCTTAAAGGTCTGGGTTCTCTATTATCTATTTTCTATGCAGGAACATCCTGACAAGACCGGAGAGGACAAGGCTGATTTTCCAACCCAGCCATACCTCCCCTTCTGCACCCAACCAACCCCAGCCAGGAGCAGGGGCAGGACTGCCACTGAAGGTGTCCCATCACCCACTCAGACTTGCTGGTGTGATTTTTCCAATAAGCTGCTTCAGAGCTGAGGCTTTCTCCTCCAACAGCTGGTTCTTCTCCTCTGTGCTCTTCTGCTTCAGTTCAGCAGCCTGCAGGGCCACTGCAAACCCCCTGTTCTCCCCACGGAGGTCTTCGATCAGCAGTTTGTTCCTGGAGAGTTGGGCCTACAGAAGAGACAGGAGGCTTCAGGTTCAGCATGCCATGCAGGGGTACCAGACAGGGAGGAACACGCAGCACTAACCCCCCTTGCACTCACCTGGGCGTCTCTGAGCTGAGCTGCCCTCTCTGCCAGCACAGCCTCAGCACTCCTCAGGCTGTGTTCCAGCCCCTCTGCCTGCTCCACAGCAGCCTGCAGCAGGTGCTCGTGTTCTGCCTGCAGTGGGCAAGAAAGCCTGTTGTTGGGTTGTCCTAGCACTCCCCTGGCCTCTGGCAACCCTGGACTGTACATTTCCCCAGGGCCCTGGACCTTCACACTCCCTGAAGGAGAGCAGGGGAGGATTAGGTGAGGTGCAGGATGCAAAGAGCAGTAGGAAAGGTGTCTAGAGCAGTACAACCTTCTCTAGGTCTGCACCTGACGAATTTTAAGACAAGGCACAGATTTCCCAGCAGTGTTTTCTATAAAAACAAGCCAATGGCCTCCCCTTTCCCAGGCATGTCCAGAAAAGCCCAGGGAGAGACATAGTTTCCTTCGATGCAGTTTTTGTGTCTGCTCGTTATAATTCCTTACGTTATAATTTGTTCTATCTTTGCCCAGTTTGTCACAAGACAAACTCACAAAAACCCAACACCTCCGTTGCCCAGTGCCCCAGAGATAAAACCACCCCACTCTGTGAACTCCACACAGAGGGCTCAAACTTTTTTTTTTCCAGTCTGAGCCAAGAGAGTCTCTGCCTGGATAACTCCTGCTCCTCTAGGCACAAGGTAGATACCTGGTCTGGGGTATGTGGGGATTTGAGTGGGGGGAGCTCATGTTTGAGTGCAGGGCAGTGACTGCTTTCATGAGGAATTAAAAGTTGCAGCTGAATTTGAAGGTAAGTGCATTTTCCATGTGGGTTCTTTATATATTGCATCTTCTACTCAAACCTCTGGTGCCTTCAACCACAGCTGCCTTCCAGGCTGCCAGGACAGCAGTGTTCCCTTCACAGTACCCTTGACTGAGCTCCCATAATTACCTGCTTACCTGGATGCTGACCAGCTGCCTGCATGTTTGCTCAGCCTGCTGGTGGAGGCTTTCCTGGAGCTGCTGAGTCTTGCACTGTTCCTCTCTCAAGGTGGTTTGCAGCTGCTCAAACTGCTGCTTTGACACCATGTTGTTCATCTGGGCCTTGGCCTGCTGCAACTGCAGAGCGTGCTGGGTCTGGGCCAGGCTCAGCCTTGCTTTGGCTTCTAAAAGCTGTAACACAGACAGGTGGACAGCTGGTTACAGCTCTGAGCCCACAATGTTACAGGCCCAGGGTGTGCTGTGGGTAAGAGGAGAGGTTAGGTAGCACCCTCAGCACCGTGCAGGACCATGGGACTGGTGCTTACTGGGCAGCCTGCAAAGCAAGGGACTGAGAGCACCAAGAGCTGCAGGTGGATAAACGGAGACCCTTTGCTGAGCAGCAAGGAGCAGGAGTTGCTGGAGGACTCTTCTGGGAGTAAATCCCAGCACAAAGGGCCACAATGGCAAGAGACAGAGGGGGCTGCTCACCTGGGTTCTTGGATATATCCCAGGCAAGCTGGGATGTCGTGTACTACATGTCCTCTGCTTCCTGCCACCAGCAAAGGGCAAACCTGGTACTGGGAAGCAGGGCTGGTCCCACTTTGCACTAGGGCTATCCAGGGGTGGCTGACATGGGTAAGCTGTACTTTGGAAAGCCAGTCCCTGAGCCTGTCCACAGGGTAGAATGCAGGAGAGGGATAGTAACACATCTGAAGGTTTCTTACACTGGCTTTCCTCTCTCTATCCTAGTGATCCTAGTTCCCCTGCTCTGATCACATTTCCCTTCCCTCAGACAAGGCCTGTCTGGCTGCTGTCATCCCTGCCCAGCCCCCTACCTGATCCTGCCACTCCCCCAGCTCCTCTGCCAGCTGAGCCATGGGGAACCATAGCTCCACTCAGCCTCCATCTCCTGTGCCCAGCCAGCCTGCACAGGACAAGGACAGAGAGGACATCACAGGCAGCAAGGACCTATCCCCAGCTGCACTTGAACTGGCTTCGGACATATTTAAGCAGGAGAGAGTCCTTTGTCCCCCACAAAGAGGAACAGGACAAGTTTTTTCTTACTGGGGAAGGTGTCCAACACAGCCCCCAGCAGGGGGGCAATCACAGGGACCACTCAGCACCCTGCCACCAACTGAAGGACACCCACCTTCTCCTGTGAGGCCTTCAGCTGCTGTTGGAGCAGCTCCACTTCCATCCAACATGCTGCATGCTTCTGGTGGTATTCCAGCCTTGCAGCCACCTCTGCTCCTCGTGGCCACTCGGCCTCTGCAAGCCTCTGGCTCTGCAGCTGGGCACTGTGACCAGCCTTGTGCCCAGTGAGTTCATAGCCCAGCTGATGCACCTTGACATTTGGGTGGGAGACCTCCTCTTTGCTCTTCTCGCTCTGGAAAAGGTTGGAAAAAACCCCCAAATCATGCACAGAGGCTTGGGGTGGGAACAGAGGCAAAGGCCACCTAATCTGTCCCACAACTGCCCCCACTGGGTTCCCACCCAGGGACACTGCTCCAGGGCCTTGTGGGCACTCAGGACAAGGGTCCTCATGTCCCAGCCTGACCAAGGCCCAGCAACACAGCATTCCTAAATAAGGAAACCTGACAGCCGTGGGAGAGGTCACTGAGGGAGAAGGGGGACACAGGACTGTAGGGGGTGTGTAACAGAAATATTAAAATTAGTAAGAATAGAGTATGAATGGAAATGTGTCCATGTGCACATGTGAAAGTACAGACAAAAAAACAGAGTAGGGGCTACAAGAACAGCCCACATTGACACTAAAGGGCACCATCCCCCAGGTGTTACCCCTAGGACACCTTCCCTTGCAGTAATGCTGAGCAAGGTGCAGTTTCTGACCAGACCACAGCAGAGATAACATCAGCAAGCCTGCATCTAACAGCAGGGTGGCAAGATCCCATTCCTCTGCTATCCTCACAGGAAAATGGGCAATTCCAAAGGAGAAAAAGCAGGCAATGGGCAGCAGGTTATTGGAAGCTGAAGCCAGCAAGGGCCAGCAAAGGCCACCCTGCTGCAGCTGATGGCCCTGAAGGGTAGAAAAGACATGCAAAAAAACAGGTTGTGGTTCCAAGTCATGAGGTATCCCAGGAACAGAGCAGAGAACTTAAAAGCCTGCCCACCTTGTTCACATTGCATACAAAAAATCTTGGCCAGGCCTTGAGTGCATATCCAAAGGCCTTTGAGCTTGTGGGTTTGAGACTGGGAGTGAGCAAAACCTCTGGGAGAAAGACTGCAAGTAGGTAAAGTCAACCTCATTAGAGACTTTGTAGCAATACTTTCCCTTCTGTAAGACCTCCACTGGCTTTTGGCACACAGGTTTTCTCTACTTGACAAGTTATAAGATGAAGCTGGTTCTTCAAAGCAAGACTGAGTTTGAATGCTTGAAACAAACATTTTTGTTCTCCTCTATGAGCACATGCAGTTTTTGTCCTCCTAAATCCTTCAGTCAAGAGCCTGTCAGTGTTAATAGCCTCTTACCAACATTGTTAACTCTGCTATTTCAGCCAGCTCCTCCACCTTCTCTCTGCACAACTTGTTCATGTGTTTCCTGTTGGAAAGAGGGATACAATCAGCTTCAGGCCAGAGAGCAGCAAACCACAGCTCCCCAGAGGAGGGCCCTGTTTTGGGTAGTCCTACATCTGGTTTTGGCCTGCAACAGGAAGCAAAGCCAAGCAAAAACAGATATGGTCCTGCATTGATTCAGGAGTGAGTCAGGTGTCTCTGCACCAACAGGTGACTCAGCCCAGCCCAGGGCAGAGAGCTGGGGACATCCAAAGTCCTGCAACACTGTCAGAGGCCTAAAAATCATGGGATGAAGAACAGCAGGAGAGACAGATTAACAGACTCTTGGGATCATCCACACCAGCAACCTGTCTCTCCTCAGATTTATGGCTTGGTGGGTGATCTCTACCTATCTCAAGCTTCCTAAGGCAGAAACAGGCCACTGGTCAAAACATTTGTGTAGCAAAGAAGCTACACAACCCTTCCTCCCACACATACCCATCTCCACAGCCTCCCAAAAACCTGGTTCTGGCCCTGTGCTCTGGCCAAGCCTGTCTCAGCACTGGCTGCTTTTGTGTGCAGCAAAGGGCGTGCGAGTGCCGGCTTCCTCAAAAATAAGAAAACAGAAGGCAGGTTGAGCCAGCTGAAATCTGGTAAATGCACCTGAGTGGCTGTTCCTTTTATCCACCCATTTGCCAGCCTTCTGCAGCTGCCTCTTCTCTTACTCATAGTGTTCACTGCCCTTCTTTGCTAGCCTCAGTTCCTGCTGGAGTCTTCCAAGATGACTCTTCAACAAGCTGTTCTCCAGCAGCCAGCACAGGTCTCCCTTGCAGGGAGAGACAGCAGAGTGAAAAAACCATGCAAAAGCCCTGTTTACTCTTGGCATTCTATGCTGCCTCCCTGGTCTATTCCCATTTGGTTTCCAAGGACAGTAAGAAATAAAAGAAATCTGAAAAACAACCATCCAGTAACTCAGGCAACATATGTAGGGACAACCAAGAGACAATGGTAGAGAAGGAGCAGGTCTTCAAAGGAAAGGAAATAAAGAGGAATAAGGACAAAGAGCATCAGACTCTGAATTTGTGCGCCTTCCAGCTGGCTAAAATTATTTTGCAGTCTTGCCAAGGAGTGGAAACAAAGCTATTTGGCTCATCAAGACACACCAAGACTTAATTACAGGATCACCAGGTGGTGAGCCCAACCCCTCACCTGCAATAAAGCCATATCTGGAACTCAGCTTGTTTGACACAACAGTTATGACCCCAAATCCAAGGCTCATCATCCTTCCACTTCTATTGGTACTTCCAGTCTCCCAGGAGTCTATGAATACTGGCACTTGTGGGAAGGAGGCTCAGTCCTGTTTTAAACAGACAGTCCTATCCAATAGCTACTGCTAAACACCAGTTCCATACAGGACTGCACTCCAACCTGACACTCTCTTGTGCTCTGGGTTCATTTTCCAAATAGTACACGACATCTTTGAGCTGCATCAGCCCCAGTTGCAACCTAGTCCTTTCCCTCTCCAGCTCCATTTTGACAGACAGAATGTCATGTTTCCTCCTGTGCTGCTACACCATTCTGTCTCCCAGAGCTTTCTTCTCCTGTTCTTGCCATCCAGATCAAGTCTGTCTCATGTCCTGAGATGCTGCTCTGTCTGCTGTGTGAAAGCATACCTTTTAACTTTGCTCTCTCTGCCTTCTTCCCAAGCACATCCCCTTGTCTATCAAGATTCCATTTCTCCATTATAAATACTTTCCACTTTGGCTCCAGCTTCTAGACTGAGCAGGCCATTTGCTGCAACAGACATCTGCACTGGTCCATCCATCACACAGTCTCTCATTTCTTCTCTGTTCCTTATGTGCAACAGGACATTTTGGTCTACCTGCTCATCTGAGTCTTGCAGATCTGCTCCTTTCCCCCCAGAGGAAAAGTCTCCAGACACTCTGTCCGTTTCAACACCAGAGCCCTCAGCTCCATGGATTCTGCATTACTCCCATTTCATCCTGGTGCCTTTTCTTATATTTTTCTGCTTAAGCATCTCACACATTTTGGCCTGTTCCTCATTAACCTCCTCTTAGAACTTTAGCTGACTCTGCTTCCACAGAGACTGTCTTTTTCCTTACACTTCCACTGTTGCCTCTCCTGGGCACGCTGCTATTGAAGGTCTCACCTTGGAGCCTTTATTGTTGGGAAATCACCTCCTCTCACACTAGTGTTGCTGCAATAAAGCCTTACAGCTGTCCTCATGCTGGCATTCACTCCATGACAGCTCTTGGTTATGCTCAACCTCTGCATCTTTCCTAAAGATAAAAAAGACTTTGCTGGCTTGGGTTTGATAACACAGCTTGGAAACTCCAGCCAGCCCCAGAATGTACGTTTGCTGGAGATGCAATACAAAGTTTTCTTTTTGTTACAAAGTCAAGGCAATTAGTTAAACCTTACAGAAAGTTCCCAAACTATTTTGCACCTCTCAGACTCACACCCATCACATCTTTTCCAACAACTCTGAAAGCTCCCCACTGTAGTCAGTCCATCTACCATTCACCAGAGATGGTGGTAACACAGCTTAAATTACTTGTATTCCTGTTATTTGGCTTTGTTTCCCTGGTCTACCACAGACTTCAGCCATCACCTCCTTTCTCCCCATCTACCCCATATCTCAGCCCTAAAAGAGGAATAATGACCCTAGCAAAATCCTCTCTTTCCGTATTGCCCAGGGGAACTCTGCTCCCGAAGGGAGACACAGCAGGGAAGAGGCAGAAGGAGAGCCTGGGGACACTGGTGGGGTGTGTTGGAAAGCAGGAAGGAGCAGGCATGGACAGGCCATTTCCTGCCAATTCCTCTCCAGTCTCCTCTGCAAGGCCACTCTGGCCCCTGGGGATGTTGCAGAACTGGCACCACAAGCCCAGGAAGGGAAGATAAACAGTCATTTAGTAACAGCCTCACTCTTTCACCAGCCAGTCTGTTTTAACTATATAGAGAAATTTAAGACATTTTTTGCTGCTTTTAAGATAACGAGTTGTGATGATCTAGCAAGCAGAGGCAGGTTTGTTGAAGGACCAAGAAAGAGAGCGATAATAAGAAAACACTAATGAAAGCTCTCTTGTATCTCTCAGTATTTTGAGATACAGTGTTTGCTTGGGCACTGCCTCTGACACAAGCTTGTAGAACATGCAGGGAAACTTAAAAGTCTTGAAATAAAAGCACTCATATAAGGGGAGTTCAGATGTCTTGCTTCGAACAGCTGCAGCCCTGCAATACCACCCAGATTTTCTTCCAAATTAAAGCAGCTCTCCAGCCTCGTGAGGAATCAGCCCAACCTACTCTGGTACGAGCAGGGGATGCACCCCTGATCTCCTGCTTAGCCCCAGAAAAAGCACAGTGCCAGACCTCAGGCTCAATCTGTCCTGGTGCTGCTGTGTCCTCAGTTCTTCTCCCTCCTGGTCCAGCTGCTGCCCTGGATGGCAAATGTCTTCAGTGTGGTGCTGTCCCACCCTGGCCTGGTCCACCTCAAACCTCTCCTCCAGCTCCAGACTCCACATAGGTTTTTGCTCTTTCAGGCTACTAATTACAGCCCAGTACTTTGCAACTGTTTCTTCTAGGTCTCTCTTCTGGTCTTCCATCTTGTGCATCTCAGCCTTGAAGCTTTCCTCACTGTCCTTCCTCTCTCTCTCAAAGTTTTTCTGCATTAACTCTAGTTGTTCCTTGTAATAGTTTATCTGTTGGAAGGAGATAGGATTTGGATATTAGCACCATGCTCCTGAGAGCTCCCTCTGCTCCATTAGCTCTAATTCAAGTTGATCTATTGGTCCCTCTCAAGAGGGGACACTCTTCAGGCAGTTCTGGTCCCTGCTGAACTTAGGGCAACAATCAGTCTCACACAGCAGCCTCTAACAGGCAGGTACCAGTGAGTCCCATTTCCTTCCAGCAAACACCACAGTTCTCTCCTTTCTCCTTGTTTACAAGGAACCTCAGAGAGGAGAAGGGAGAGGCCAGGGCATCATTTGCCACTGCTCCTCACATCCTTCCTCCACTGCAGAGTGGTCCCTTGCCAAGATGTGGTGGTGGGTAGCTGCTGCTCCCCACAGCTGCCCTGTAAACACTAGAAACTCCAGGATTTGATGAGCACAAAGGCAGGACTGTGAAGCAGGCGGAGCATCTGTAAGCAGTTTTGTGCTCCTTGAACTGTTCTGTCACCTGTGTGGCAGTTTAGAATTTACTTTTGCAGTGCTGCAACAGAAATCCAGCAAGCACCACTGACCTCTCAGTTCAGCAGCAAAAAGAGGAGTAAATGCGGAAACTGAGGCCTCTTACAAGAGCACTCTGTCTAAACAGGGCTGGGCTCACACTGTCACCTTAGGGCAAGTGGGTTAAAGTGTGCTGCAAGCCCAGGGCAACAGGGCTCTGATACACCCCATGCCCTCAGGAGACACCTGGCTGCTTCTCCTCTTGGTCCTGTTGCTGGTTTTACTGTGATAGCAACACCGGGTAACCTCTAGTTCCCCACAAGACGCACACAAACATTTTGCAAGGTGACAGTGATTTCCACAAAGCCTTTGCCAGCCAGTGAGGGCTCCAGACGCTCCTACCAGCTAAGACAGGCTGGAGATGCACATGGAATAATCCCAGCCAAGTGCTGAGGTACCACACTGCTTCCCAGCCCGAACTCTCTCTCCAGCAACCCTCCTGGAGCAGATGCCTCATCAGTCATGCTGTAGCAGTTGTGCTTACCAAGAAGTCAGGACATTTCCCTCTACCCCACTCACCTTGGTTTCCAGCTGCACCTTCAGCTCTTGCAGCTGCTCTTGGAGCTGCTCCACTGGGAGTGACATCTCTGTATATGTAAAAGTAGGAACAAGAGGGCTTGGAGAGGGGCGTTCTGGCAGAGAGGAGCCCTGTAAGGACAGGCCTACAAGACAGGACTGATAAGAATGGATGCAGCTTCATCCAGTCAAGTCCATACGACTCCAAAAGATGGAGATTCCCCATCTATCTCATGGGTCCCAGGGCTACATCACTCCTCTCAGCCAGAAGCTTTTATCTAATGCTCAACTTGAATCTCCCAAGCCACAGTTTGGTTGGCTACATCCTCTTTATTATATTGTGTTTCCCTAACATCCTCAACAGTGAAAATCTGCCTGTTCACTCCTAGCTGCCTAGTCCACAGGTTACCATCACCAGCTCTCAAGTTGGGAACGCCTCTTTCCCTCCTCACCACCACCCAATTTCCCCTTCTTCCCTCCCACGGCTGCCCAGTACCAGAACCTGCACTGGTAGTTCAGGCACAAGCCATCCCACACTCCCATGTAAAAGTCAATCCGGAGGGAACTCTGTTCCTGCTGAGAAGATGGAGAGGCACTGAACACTGGAGCACATTACCTCTTGCTGGCAGCCCTGTCTCAGCCCTGCTCTCCTGGAGCTGGAGACGCAGCCTTTGCAGCTCCCTCCGCAGCGCCCTGTTCTGGTCATACAGCACCTGAAAAGACCAAAGACTGGTCATGATGTGGCTACAAAGCCCCCCCAGGGTGTGGGAGCTGCCATGTGTACTCAGAGCCTCCTGCTCTCAGGCCCAGCACAAAGAGCAGAGGCCTCCCCCAGCCCCAGCACAGGGGAATTTTTCTTCCTTCCCAAGCAAATGCAGACATGAGAGAATTTGGAAGCGCCACAGAAGAAATGCAAGCCCAGATTACCATGACCATCACCAGTAGACACTGTAAAGCACAAAGCAACTGGTCCTGCATGCAAAAGCCACGATACCAGGGTTTTTTGCAGACACCTCAAAGGGCTGGGCCTCCTGAGACCCTCCTGACCTAAACCACCATTACTAGCATCCAACACATAAGAAACACCATGATCTCAGTACGGGCCCAGAGGTTTGCATTTACATCCTCAAGATACCTCTGTGGGCATCCAGGCTAGCCAACAAGCACTCCTGTATGCACACAAAGCAACAGGGAAGCAAGTCCCACAGGGCTCTGGGAGGGAACATTTCCAGGTTGCAGAAGGAATAAAGTGAAGCGAGAAAGTGCTGATCCCATGGGAAGCACAGCACAAGGCAGGTCCTGCTGGTCTCCTGGTGCCAGAGACACCTTGAGGCCAGAACAGGAGTTTATCCCACCTCAGTGCCAACATCAGCCTGCAGCAAGGAGTCAGCTCCACAGCTGAACGCTGAGTTATGAGCCGCCACACCAGTGCAATGAGCCACTTCCATGTGGGTGTTTGGAGCTGGAAAACTGCTTGCTTCACTTCACACCCTCCATCCCGTACTGGAAGCAACACCACACAAGGCATCCTGCCTTCTTCTGGACTGGGGGTCAGACCACTTTGAGCAGACATCAAATTACCTCCCACGTGCTGCCACTCAGGAAACTAATGTGTTGCAAGGGACTATGAATTAGGACACTTCCAATTAATAAATATTACTGAGACGATGTAGACAAATGCAAACCCAGTTTGTTTCATCTCCATTCTAAACAAGAAGGGCAGGGGGCTGACAGCACTCAGCAAGAGTAAAGGATAAACCCGAGTGGGTGCCTTCACAGGGGCAGACGAAGCCTGAAGGTTGAACCTTTCCATCCATCAGCATTCTTATGGACAACTCTGGGGCTGTTCAACAGGAAAAAAAATTGCAGCACCAAGCATATTCAACCCTCTGGTGCCACCTGGAGCAATGTTACACTGGACTGTGCTCCAGTGTGTTTGCCTTTAATTACAGACTCAAGAGGGGCTGTCTGATGTGTCCATGGAACGACTTTGCTGAAAGTGCACATTTCAGCCCTTGCTGGAGGGATGTCATAAGTCACTGTCCCTACTCAGTGGTGTTCCCCAGCCACACACAGCACTTGGGAACAAACGGGCAATGTAACAAGCACAGGATTTGGGAGCCAAGGCACAGAGCACTCAGCAACTCACAACATGCAAGATACACAAGTCACTTAAAAATGAGAGAAGGGAAACAGAGGTTGTGCTCATCCCAGACAGCCAAAAGCTCTGGAAGGAGCACATTACCCTGCAGGAAGTACAACATACGGAGCACCAACTCCTGGACCATACACACACACCAGATACCTGGACTGGCTCACCTTGACTCTCTAGCAGAGTCCAGCAGCAAGTTTTGTAGGGGTTTGTCAAGTGGGGGCAAAGAGAAGGAAGGGAAAAACAAAAGGATAGAAGAATTTCACTGTTAACATGCTTTCCAAATAAGGAGAACGGCTTTCTACTTCTGCTCAAGAAGAAATGCAACAGAGCCCAGGGTAGAGGTACATGGTTCCCAAACAAAATAGTCCATGGCTACAGAGTGGCAAGCAGGGAGGAATTTACCATCCACCCCTACTCTCCTCTGCCAAAATCCCAGACACGTGGGAAACAACCCATGGAGGGCTGCAGGAGTGAGGAGACAGGCTGCTTTACTGAGGGTACAGCTGTCTCCAGCCTCCTCTGAGCAAGGCAAGAGGGATTCTCCTCTGCACCATGGTCAGGGCTGCCTCCATCCACTCCCCCAGGCGAAAGTGCCCAACAGATGTGCTGAGGAGAGCAGGACTTTCACAACAACTGCTGGAGAACTGCCCACGCGTACCTGGCACTGCCGCTCGTACTCCAGGACAATCTCGGCAAAGTGCTCGCTCTGGCTCAGGAACTCCGGGCTGTGGGGCTCCCCCTGGCCCAGCTGCACAAGCACAGGGAAACATCTCTCATCAAGAAAGTTATCACCTCTCCAAACAGAGAGCCAAAAGCTCTACTAAATCACTGTGAAGTCATGGTGCTACACCCATAGATTCAACAGAAGGGTTCGTATTGTCACCTGTGGGATGAGTCAGATGCAGAAAGAGGAGGAAAAACATTTTTCTCCACATGTGAGAGACAACAACTACAGGCAGGCAAGCTTTCCTGGCTAACAAGATCACAGACTCATTTCTTTCCCCAGTTTCATTTTACCAGGTGAGTTGTAGGAGTGGAAGATACCAAAACTAACCCTTTACTTCAATAGTTGTGAAAAATAAAGCTTTTCTTTTTTCTGGAAACCAAACTTCAAAGTTTTCACTTGAACACTGCAAATTTGTAAAATTTTCTAAAACTGCAAACTTTCTTCACCCTTTTTTTCCCCAAGCTTCAAAAGGCCTAACTTAAAAGCCAACATTTTTTTTCTTTCCAGGCTGTCATCAACGTGCAGGAGAGCTCACAGAGGGGGAGACCATAACAACTGAGACAAAATATGCAAGACCAATTTTTTGATGAGTTCCTGAAAAGTTTCTATTTAACTACAACAGAGAAAGGTTACCTTTTCCTTCACAATGTAGTTGAGTTCTTTCTGCAGCTCCAACACCAGTTCCTCAGAGGCTGACAGTTTCTCAGTCATCTCTGTGACCTTGTTTTGCAGCTCTGCGTTCTGCTGACAAAACAGAGATCTCCTTGATGCAGTGGGTCCTGACATGGCAGGACGGGTTCATCAGACACAGGCCTTCAGCAGGAAGCTGTGAAACAACTGGCAGCGTGGCAAACACAGCACAGCTCCCAGAAGACCCTGAATTGGACAGCTCCTGGTTCCAGACAGGACAGGAGTCATTTTTTGCAGTAGCCAGAAGGGTGCCCAGATGTTATTTCTACACCACCTCATGCCATTGCCACGGGCAGCGGGAAGGGACTGTTTCATGGAGAAAGGCTTTCTTCCAGTGAGAAAATGAGAAAAGGAAAAGTGGCTGCAGGTTGGGCTGGGCTCTTCGGTGAGCATTTTGCACGTAAATCACTCTCTCTTTCGTACATTTTTGTTATTAGTATTGTTGCTGTTACTGTTTGTTTTCTTATCTCATAGCTGTTTCCTATAATTTGTTCTTATCTCAACCCACGATCTCTGCCTTTTGTGCCTCCAATTCTCCTCTAAAGCCACCCAAGGGACAGAAGATGGAGGAGAGGCAGTGAACAGTAGTGTGGTTTGGAAAGTCTTGTGGGAGAACTAAACTGGGCAGTACCATTCCTAAACCACAACAGGACAGCACAGCACACTGTTGATACCTCATGGGCTGGGGTTAGGCTCATCTCTCCAAAGGACAGGCATAGGAGTGGGTTTTGCAGAATAAGAGCTAGATAGCCCCACAGGCTCATCTCTACCCCTGCTTCACAAAACTATGGTTTCCGTCACAGACAACAAAGGCAGCAAGTCCTGGGCTATCTCCAGCTGTACTTCTACAATGAACAGAACTGGGATGATCCCAGGCACGCAGACACCATCATCTCTGCTTTTGGCATGATCCCTGGCACAATTATAGCCTTAGCTATTGAGTATCCAGGTGTTATCAAGGGCCAAACCAGTCCCAACAAACAACATGGGGGTTTAATAATGCCACAGCAAGGGAACAAGCTCTGTATTTAATACAATAGTATGGATGTGGCTGATGATTCTTCTGCATAAAATTCCTGTCCTTCCCAGCAAAAGCAACACAAACCATCCATATTTGTCACCACCTCTGCTTTGCCTCATCTGAAGAAGTGAAGATGTTTCACCCAGGGCAGTTTTACTTACCTTCATCACGTGGTTCAGTCTCCCTTGCAGGTTGGCCTCTTTGCCCTGGAGGAACTGTGTATCAGCCTCCAGCTTTGCCTGGTGACTGACTGCTTGCTGCAAAAGCAGCTCTTTTGCTTCTATTTCTGCCTGAAAATCCCTGGGGGAAGAAAGCAACGTGGCTGGGGCACCTGGAGCATGTTCTCAGATGGTCACGAGGTACAGACACCCTCCCTCACCACGCACAAAGCAGGAGATGAGAACTTGGTTGGAAGGATGCTGAAACCATAGTGGGGGAAGGTCTTCAGGGATTTTTCTGCCACTAGCACGTTGACAAAACAAGTGGGAGATTTAACAGGGAGACTGGGATGGGAGGGAGAGGCTGTAGGCACATCTTCCCAGCCCCACCAAAAAGACCCTTCCTACTTGAGCTTGCTCTGGGTGTGCTTGAGAGCGATGTACTGCTCGTCCAGCTCCCTGCCAAGATGCAGGCAGCGTCTCTCTGCCTTCTCCAAGTCCAGCTTTGCCTTGTCCCTCTCCCTGGCGATCTTCCTCACCTGGATCCTGCAGACATGGAGAGCAGAGCATTAAGAGACACCTCACACATTCCAGAGAAGAGCCCTCCTCGCGGGGAGCAGCACCCTCACCAGAGGCACTGCAGTTTGTATCCATAGGAGGTGACAGCTGCATGCTGAAGCCCACTCCTGGGTACCATGAGTGTGCTGTCCAAGGCTGTAGGCAGCTCTGCCAGTCTCACCTGCTCCTCCATGCTGCTACTCCACCTCTGCAAGCACAGCACAGACTGTAATCACTTCCTCCCTCTTCTAGGAGTTCCAACAGGACCTCTGTTGTCACACTATCCAGTCATTCAGAGATGCCCTCCCATCTCACAGATAAGCCTAGATCATATCCACCCCAGATTTTCCTCAGCCCTTCCCCAAACCCTGCCACCTCATCATGAACCTTGGCTGCAAGCACTTCTTCCACCCCAGATGGTTGCTTGCTGAAAGGCCCTGCTGCTCACTTCACCCACCACCACCGATCAAGGCAGCACCAGAGACCTTGAGGATCCACCCTTAGTTCTTCCAGGGCTCAGGTGGCAGTGACAAGCTGAGGATTGGCAAACCTGGTGCCTTTGCTGATGACGGAGGAGTGATGTGGGCCCACGCAGCTTGGCCAGAAGGACACACTGATTCCCTGCACGTTACCCTCTGACACTGAGGAAAAAACAGCAGAGACAAGTCAGTGGGGAAAAACTGGCAGAGAAAAACTGAAGCTTTCCATACCGAAAGGAAACTTCAGAGATCAAATCAATACTGAAGAACATTTTAGAAGCAAGCCCAAGCTGCCAGGAGGGAGATGTTCTGAGCTGCCCTTAAGGCAACTACAATGAGAAGGTTTTGGTGAACACTCAGAAGCCACAGAAAAAACAACACTGAAAGCTACAGAGTTTACAGTGACAACTGCCAGATGGGGACTTCCAGCCAACATTTTGTTTGACCTAGAGGCTAAAATTGCCTTGAGGTCAGCTTCAAAGGTAAATGAGATTCAGCCAAGCTGACCCAAAAAGCATAAAGCTGATACAGAACCGATAACTCCAAGAGCACCAATTTTGTACCAGGTTTGAAAGAAGCCTTAAGTCAAAGTCTTAAGTCAAAAGAACCTAAAACAACTCTTCTTTCTTTTTTGGAGCTGTTTTGCTCAAGATCCTGGATGGAGCTGTCCTGGCTGTCAGGGTAATCAGAGATTCACTTCCACCAGAGGTACTTCAAAAGCATTGGCAAATGCCTTGCCAGTCCTTGGAAAGCACTAAGGAGAAAGAAATATTTTACATCAAACAAAGAAAATGTGAATGAAGCTTGATCCATGCACTACAAAGTACACACAATTTGTGTCACATGTGAGGTACAGTGACATCAGCACTTCTGAGGTCAGTATTAGAGTTGAGGTGATTTTTCCCCTCTGCTACAATGTGCATCCCTCTCCCTCCCATAAAAAGATGAGACTCAATAGCCCTCTGCTGTTCTGTATTACCATCCCACACCACTTAAGTAGGGTTTGCTCCTACTCAGGCAGTTCCCAAGGGAGCCTTTCAGTCACCATGCAGTGGCTGAAGTCCACACTGCACCTAAAAAATGACTGACAAGTGGAAAACTCTCCCCAAATCTCCACCTTCGGACGCCCAAATAATGTCTATGAAATCATCCCCTTGTGAAAAGAAATATCTTGGCCTGAATTGTTCTCAGTAAAACCTATTCTTTAGCCTTTTTTTTTGTGGGGGGAAATGGACAGAGAAGCCTTTCTAAGTGTGATGTCTGGACTTGTGTCTGGATTCCCTGCAGGACATTGTAAAACATCAAATACAGATTAACTGCCCTGTGTAGGGATGAGGCAATGACTTATTGTTCCTTATCCAAAGTCAATGGAAATCACCTCATGGAGCTGCTGATCAAGGCCATCAACCAGGATCCTTTTTACAAACTCACCCCGTGGAGTGCTAAGTCTTGGCTACTTAAGAGACATTGACTTGCCATGAAAAATGTAGTTGTATGGCTGAACAAGCCAAACTGCAACTCCTCAAAGCTCTTTCATCTCCATGCTTTTCCAGTTTAGTCAATATATCTGTGCGTTCCCAAGAAACGAGACCAAGAGAAATTCTACAGCTGCAGGAATTTGAAGCACCCAAACTGTTTCTTAAATCCCATCTCTTCTACAGTGCAAATGGAACACAATTTAAAAACGCTCTTTGAGAAGGACAGGGAGGTGCAGTATGCCCACATCCAAGCTCTCTGCCCCTCAAAAGAACCCAGGGATCAGCTCTGTGAAAACTGGATCCCAGCTGCTTGAACAACATGGACAGAGCAGTGGAGAAGGCATCGGCTGAGGAAAGGCAGTGAGAAGTTTGGATCCTTCTCTGGCTTCTGTTGAGAACCCCTACATCTCATTCCATTGCCTTGTCCCACCTCAGGTTGGCAAATCAACCCTCTCTTGACACCCCTGGGCTGGCAGAGGAGGTGACATGAGGCCGCCAGCCAGCACATTTCTCCTCCCCTCCCACCATGCAAACTGCCTGGGGTGTTCCTGGGGCTGGACGCTTGGCTTCCACATGGGCATGGCGTGCTGGATATCCCAGGCACAGAGTTCCAGGGGAAACACACACCACACAGGGAAACCAAATGGGAGTGGCAACCCACGTGTCGCCTCCATCCTGCATTCCAAGGTGTTCTGAAGAACACAAACAACCTGCGTCCACCTTCCCGTCCAGCCCCCTGGATGCTTTTCCTGGGGCACATCGGGAAGAGAGCGGCCAGCAGGTCGAGGGAGGTGATCCTGCCCCTCTACTCGGCCCTGGTGAGGATCACCTGGAGAGCCGTGTCCAGTTCTGGGCTCCTCAGGACAAGAGACACAGAGCTCCTGGAGCAGGTCTAGCAGAGGGCAACAAAGAGGATTAGGGGAATGGAGCACCTCAATTCTGGGGAAAGGCTGAGGGAGCTGGGGCTGTTTAGTCCAGAGAAGACTGAGAGGGGACCTCATCAGTGCATGTAAATAACTAGAAGGCGGGTGTCAAGAGGAGGGTACCAGAGTCCTTTCAGCGGTGCCTAGCAACGGGACAAGGAGCGATGGCCATAAACTAAAACACAAGAAGTTCCACCTGAACCTGAGAAACAATTTTTTTACACTGATGGTGGCAGAGCCCGGAACAGGCCGTCCAGGGAGGCCGTGGAGTTTCCCCTCTCTGGAGACATTCCAAACCCACCTGGAGGCGTTCCTGTGTCACCCGCTCCAGGTGAGGTGGGGCTGGATGATCCCCAGAGGTCCCTTCCTCCCAGCCGTCACGATCCCGTCACTCCCTGAGGACAGCCCGTGCCCTCCCGCCCCGCGCACACGCACGCGCACACGCACACGCACGCGCACACGCACGCGCACACGCACGCGCACACGCACG